TTAAAGTATTAAAATAACCTTCTTACATTACACTAAACAAATTGCCTTGCCTCTGAGGAAAAAACAGTATTAATTTTTTTCTTATCTCTATATCAATTAAACACAAAGCTTAAAAACATCTTCTCTAGCACAAAGTGTAATTCATTCAACATTATATTCTTCACCTCTCTCTCTCTCCTCTTTTGATGCTACAAATTACTACTATAAGTGCACTTTTAATACTACTATATACTGTGTTTGCTCTCCATAAAGTTAGCATGTACCAGTGATGCTGATAAAGAGGGATTACACATATCATTAACACTTGTTTTCAACCAATTTACTGGTGAAGTATACATCCTTCATGTACCACAGTGATCTACAGTCAATGAGGTCTACAAATTATGCATATGAAAATAAAACCATGTTGTGGGAAGGCAATGTTCTGCCCTAAATGTTGCACAATATCTTTTTTGCTGGCAATTTCCTTTCTTCAAAACTAAATAAGCCTTCTATATTGCATTCTCAAGTTGATGCAACATTTTTTTACATTATCATATCCACATCTTTTTTTTCTATTTAGGTATATCGAGTATATACATAGAACAAAGGGGGACGGAAAAATGGCAGTTGGTCAGTTACAGGTGTACTAAGGTCCCTACCAAACACTGTTGCCTAAAGGCAGTTGTACATATAAATATTTAATCATTACCTACTCAACAATTTGAATCTATTGCTAAAAGTTATTCAGTATGCGTAATTTGTATTTTCAAGGCTCTGCCAACCTTCAGCAACAGCATCTTTTCAGAATCTTGAGAGACACAATACTTGCAACGATGGTAGTCGAACCTTCGCACAAATGCCTCTTCCCTACCTTCTCCAGTCCCAACTACTTCAACAAGGCAAGACAGTTAATGATATGGTATTGTGTTGTATCACAGAAGTATATATTGCAGGAAGACAAAAGAAGCTAATGTTAATCTCTATTAGTATTTTATCAATAAAATTTACATCTGTAAGTTCAATCTCTTGAACTTCTACATCAAGTTTCTATAATGAGCAGCAGTTCTTGGTGAGCGTTTTATGGATGTTTTGAGCGCCATATCATGTTAAGCTGCTGTAATATTTTAAACCAGTTTAACTATTGCAATATACAATGGTGTTTATCTACACAGATGCTTTGTTATTCTTTACATTATGCATACATAGTATATTGTTACAGAACCCCAATCACAACATAGGCAAGAATTACAATAATAATAAAAAAAAGAAGTTAAAAGGTCATTAAGGATATTTAAAACCTCAGTATAACATTAAGTATACTCAATACATCATTCAGATTATAAGCAATGGCATTAAAATGATCTGTTACTTGATTCTATGTAACAACCACTTACGATGAACAGAGAAGTTATCAATAATTCATCACTGCTAAACTCTTAAAGCTGTTACCAACTTACTATAAGACACACACATAACAAAGATGTTGCATCAGCAAATAATATCCAGGTTAACCCAACAGCTCTCCGTTTAGCCAATTGCGTAATAAAAAATAAGGAGCACTTGTACACCAAAACAGTAGTAACTGCATCACAGAAAGAAGTAATATACAATATACATCAAAGTAAAGGAAAACCTGTGAGGAAGAAAAGAAAAAAAAAATAATAATAAGGGGACTAATTTTGCAACAGCTGAAATGCTTTCCAATATTCATTGTAAACTCCCTAGCAAGACAACAGAGGGACAATTTTAACACAAAACATGAATTCTTGCATGCTTCCAAAATCCAAATTTGCTTCTGTGGGCTTTGACTTAAGCCAAAAACGGACAGAAACAGTTTTAGCCAGTGTCTACAAACCAGACAAAATATAGAACAAATAGTTACAACCTCTACCTGCACCGCAACTGTACCTTTGCAGTACCTTGATTGCTATCTCATCGTCCCTATCAGTATCATCACATCTTTCTCTGCATGAAAAACTGATAGCAGACTCATTTCATCCTAATAAATACAGTAACAAATATGCAGTACTAGGACCCATATTTCCCTACCCTGGAGAGGCTGTTGTCATACTGAGATGACATTTCTACTACATCTCTCTATCTCAAGAAGAAGAAGAAGAAGAAGGAGAAGAAAGCCAATTTCTAGTTATCACAAATCTGGATACGGCTTTGTCCCTGTTGATTGAGAGAGGGGGTAATGAAGTACTGGACATATATAAAATAATAATAATAATTATTATTATTATAAAAATAATAAAAAATCCTATTATACCTGCATTACATAAATACAAAATACATTCAACAATTAATAACTAATCAGATCATATTCATAGAAAGATATGGATTGGATCAATAACATTTCATTTTTCAATCTAAGGATTTTATACGGTACGTGTTTCATGAACATAATTCAATGATCCTGTATTTTTTTTTTTTACTTTGAACTTTCATGAATTTCTTATTCTTCCCCTTTCAACATGACTTTCATTCTTAAAAAAATACGTCTAAAAGTACAAACTCTGTGTCTTCATATAATATTCACAGTAAAGTCAAGTCTAAGAAATATCAGATCTGTTGTAAAGAGCTAATGTAACTAGCTATACATTAAATAAAAAATTGCATGGGTGTGGCATCCTTTGTAATAAATCTAATACATTTTTGTTAAAATCTAATTTTGCCCAAATTAAAAAGATACAAAACTAATAAACACATACCAATTAGGTATGATAACTTAATGCATCATACAGCAACTATAAAATAAAAGTCAAGTTCGTTCTACCTTATTTCATGATGGAAACTGCTATACCAATAAAAATTATTCTTGAAAGATGGATGCCAGATATATCATTTGTATAAAAAGAAAGAAAGAAAGAAAGAACACAAAGATGAACAGAACAGAACAAGTGACCTTGAACATTCCTCTCCCTTCACTTGCCTTTTCAAAACTCACATTCACTGTGAACAATTTTACCAGCCCCCCATGAATCCTCAAGTTTATGCTCACAATGGACAGAAATTCTAATCAACCTTGTTCTTCTTTTCACTCGAGCTTACAATGGAATCGAAGGATGCTGACTGAACAGATGATGCAACTGACGTTACGTTCCTTACCCTAGAAAGGCACTCAATAGGAAAGCTTTTGATTACAAGTTAAACATT